CTCTGGAATTCCATCTCCTTCTCTCTGGAATTCCATCTCCTTCTCTCTGGAATTCCATCTCCTTGTTTTAGCTGCAGTGACAACAGTTGCTACACAGAATGGCAAAGCACATCTGTTATTTTCCCTACTGACCAAATCATCCTTGTTTCCTCCTCGATGGGAAGTGAGTTGTTTTCCACAGCCACTGGAAATTCAAACAATCTGGATTTTCTCCAATCAGCACAGCACATGGGTGCAGTTCCCTAATGAAGTGTTTTGTACATGGAGATGAAAGAAAACACAGAATGCACTAAAAAAAAAAAAAACCTCATGCTGTCAGTCAGTGGAAATAGCAGAGTGTCCCAGAAAAGCCTGAGGAACACAAGCCATGATCAGGTGTTCCCTGCCTGAGTGTGCCAGTTAAAGAGGTTTTCTCTCCCAAAAATGTTCCTGCCCCTCCACAGGAAGCACAGAAGGGATCAGTGGCTGCCCGAAGTCAGCTGCCTCCTTTCACACTCACCTGCAGCACGTCAAGGTGAGGAGGGTCCAGCTCACACCCTCACACCCACCCCTCCAGGTGAGCCCTGAGCCCCCCCTGTCTCCTGGACACACCTGACCAAGAGTTCCCCTCTCCAGTCTCACCCCACAGCCTGGGAGCTCCACAAAGCAAAACTAAACACGTGAATTACAGCTTAGACTTCATCTGACACGTAGAAAACACGTGAAATTCCCTCTGTCCCTTTACTACAATCACTGCAGGCAGGTGTTTTCCAAAGGGGCTGCAATACCTCACACAGTCAGTGCCCAGGAAAGAGAGAGGAGTAAATTATCAAGGCAGAGGTTCAGAGAGTTTGGTACAAGCTGAGTGTAAACAGTGAGTAACCTTTGGAACCTCTCTGGTTTGGGGTCCAGCATTTAGTCAAGAGTCAAAGAGGTCCTTAAAAAGTAGCCCTGAAAGTTGAGGGAAGCAGCACAAAGTGCTCTGAATTTATTCCCATTAATCAGGGAAATGGATTTCTCAATTCAGAAGCAGCCAGCCACTTACACAGAGGGGTTCTCCTGGGAAGTGGAGCAACCTGGGGGAAAACTCTTGGGATGCCACTGCAGCTCCCAATGGCTTCTCCCTGCTCAGGGCTGGACACTCACCCAGAGCTGACACCTGCTACCACTGCAGCCTCACTCTTCACAGCATCAGTAAATAATGTGTCAGAGTAAAAAGGATTGAAGGGAAGGAGGAGAAAACCATGCAGGCCTGTCCCTGAGAACCTCCCAGGTGTACACAGAGAAAACAGGCCAGAGGAGGAGCAGGGAGGAAATTTTCACTGTAAAACCACAGTGGAATACAGAGATTTTACGTCAGAGCTTTCCAGGGGGCTGAAACCAACACAGAACTGGCAGCAAGGACAAAGGCAAGTTCTCCATGGAAGACAGCACTCCTGAAGTTCAGGGTTTTAAGTGACAAAGACCAAATTCCAAAAGCCCCGTGTGCTTTGGGAACTGCTGAGCTGGAGGATGCAGCACAGCAACCAGGGAGCAGAGCATTCCTGTGGCCATTACATTCCAGGTCACATCTGAATTGCCATGGAGCTCCAAGCAAAGCTCCACAGCATCCATGGAGACAACTGCAAACTCACTGAGAGTAAGCCAGGGCTAGAGAAAGAAAAGATCAACATTAGACCATGTCATGGGATGATTAATGAACACCTGAAATAAACCACACTGAGCTACCTTGAAATAATTGTTTCTTTCTGTAGCAAAGTTACTGATTAAAAGGGAAAAAGAGAAAATTAGAGTTAAGCCAAAATCCAGCTGGTTGCTCCTCGCCCTTCCAGGTTGCTCAGATTTCAGAAGGAAAGGGAAGAAATTCTAGTGCTGAGAAAAGAAAGTTTAGGCTGAGAGATGGAGTTTGCACGTGGTTGTCTCTAATCCAAGGGGAAAGAAAAGACGAGTCAGTTCAGAAAAAGCAAAATCCATCCAAACGAACCCTCCTGAAAATCGGGATCAAGTTCCCACATGCAGTAAACAGATAAAGGCTTCCAGAAATAGGTGAAAACATTCCCCACGGCTGAACTTCCCGCCAGGTAAGCGCCTTAGATCCCGCTCAGGGGCCACTCCAGAGGTGGGTGTAACTTAATCCCAGCAGCTTTTCCAGCCTCCCTCCCTGCCCAGAGCCAACATGGACGCTGCCTCCCGCCACGCACAGAGGCGTTTCCCAAAGTGTCAACTCCATTTCCAAGGGAATTGTCAAGGCCCCAACCAAAGCAACTCCACGCTCGTCTCTCTGCGGCCAAACTGGGCACCAGTGAGGAGGAAAGGAGTCACAGAATCATGGGATGGTTTGGGCTGGAAAGGGCCCTCAGGACCATCCCATGGGTAGGAATACCTTCCACTATCCCAGGGTGCTCCAAACACTGTCCAACCTCGGACAATTCCAAGGATGGGACAACCTTCCTCCCAAGGAAAAATTTTTTTCTAATACCCCATCTAAACCCACTCTCCTTCAATCTGAACCCATCCCCCTTTATCCTGCCACTCCAAACTCTCCTAAACATTGTCCCATCTTCCCTGGAACTCCTCCCAGCTGCATCCCAACCCTCCCCAGCTCCCAGGGCACACGCACCTGGCGATGGGGCTCCGGCTCACGGAGCGCTTGGAGGCGAAGGGGCTGCTGGAGCGGCGGCGGCCGTAGGGGCTCGGGGACCTCCCGCTGTAGGAGCCGCTGCCCCGCTCGTAGCTGGACGAGCGCCTCCGGCTGTAGGGGCTCACGGATCGCTGCCGCCGGCTGTAGGGGCTGGGCGAGCGGGCGTTGGACTGGTAGCCCACGGGCTCCTTGTAGGGCGGGCTGAGGGACTGGCGGCGTGAGGAGCCGCCGGGGCTCTTCCTGTAGGGATCGTAGGTGCTGGAGGTGTGCGAGCGGGGCGGGCTGAGGTCGTACTCCTGCACGTAAGAGGCTCCCGAGGGGCTGTCGTCCAGTTTCGGGCTGTCCGACCATTTCCTGTGAGGGCTCCTGGATTTCCGCTTCGGGCTGTCGATGGTTTTGTAACTTTTGGGAGCATCCCTTTTCCGATGGCTTTTGCTGCGCTCTTTGTGGCTGGACTTGAGCTCCCGCTCCTTCCTGGATTTCTCCTTGTGCGCCTTGGCCGAGCGTGACTCCTTGTTGCTGCTCTTGGAGGAGAGCGCCTTGGGGTGCTCCTCGCTCTCCAGCAGCCTCTTGGAGGATCCCGATATCCTCTCCTTGGCGGACCTGCTGGAAGCATCCAGGCTCTTTTCCAACTTCCTGTCTTTCTCCGCCTGTTTGCTCTTCATCAGCTCCCGGAGTCGTTTGTGCTGGTGGTGCCGGTGCTTCTGGGCCCTCTCGCTCCTCTCCGCCCTCCTCTCCTCGTTGTCCCTCCTGTCCAGCTTGAGGGCCACATCGTCCGAGAAGGTGTCCGAGTCCGAGCTGATGTCATCGTACTCCACCAGCGGCTTGATCACCGCTCCCAGGGGCGCCGCCGCTTCCTGGGCCGCCAGCGGGGACTCCTTGGAGTGCCTGGACTTGTGCCTCTTGTGCCTGGATCCCGCCCGGTGCCTCTCCTTGCTGTTGGAGCTCCCGCTGCTCGGCTGCGAGGACCCCCCGCCGCCGTCCTTCTTGCCCCCATGTCTCTCCGGATTTGGCATTCCTCCCCCGCTGCGCTCGGGAACGGCGAGGGGGGGACTCCGCGAAAGCCCCGAACTTCAAACTCCCTCCGCGCCCGCCCCTCGCACCATCCACCCCGGCCTCGGTACTCCCTCCTACATGGGGAGCGGGGCCCGAGGCCCCGGAGGAGGCGGGAGGGACGGGGAGGGGAGGGGGGAAGGACCCGGGAGGGGAGGGGGAAGCGCCGCGGCCTCACCGCCTCATCCGAGGGGCCCAGGCCCGGCGGGCAGCGCGGCCGCGGGGGCGCCCCGGGAAGGCGGGGCCCGGGCCCGGAGCGCTGCCCGCGGCCTCAGCGGCGGTGGCGGGGCCTGGGCGCGGATCTCCCGGCCAAAGGGCCCCGGAGCCGCCGCCGCCCCCGGCCCGGCCCCAGCGCTCTGCCCGAACCGGAGCGGCGCCGTCCGGGGGCACCGCCAACTCTCGCGAGAGCCGCCGGCAACTCTCGCGATAGCGCCGCGGCCACCCCTCCCTCCGCGCGAGTCCTCCTCGTCCGCGAGTCCTCTCGGAGATGGGCGGGGGCGCGCGCTCGTCCTCTCGCGAGAGTCGTGAAATCGCGCGGCAGGCGAACTTTATTGGGGCGCGGGGTGGGGACAGCGCCCCCTAGCGCCCGGCCCGCAACAAAGCTCCATGGCGGCGGCGCCGCCGCCCCGCCGGCCCAGCCTCTTGCCGCTCTCCCGCTCCGCCGCGCTGCGCTCTAAAGCCGCTTGCGGGTCGCTGTCGAGCCCGCCCCGGCGCACCGCCGGCTAACGGGCGGTTAATGCTCCGTTAGGGCTCCACAGAGGCCGCCGCCGCGCTTCCAGGAAGCTGAGGGGGCGGGGCGTGCTGTCCCTCAGGCCACGCCCACCCCCGTGGGCGCGGCGGAGTCTCGCGAGAGCGCGGGAGCGCAGCCGCGGGCGCAGCCATGGCGGCGGCGGCCGCCGCCGTGTGAGGGCGAGGGCGGTCCGGCCGCCGCCCCCGCTCCCCGCCCGCTCCCGATCCCTTTCCCAGTCCCTCTCCCTCTCTCTATCCCGGCCCCGGACCTGCAATATGAAGGCAGCGCCGGGCAGCGCCGAGGGTGAGTGCGGCGCGAGGGACGCGGGGGTTCCCGCCGACCCCGTGAGGGAAGCAGTGGGGGCCCTGTGGAGCCGAGGCTCCGGGTCTGGGCAGCCCCGGGCTGGGGCTGAGGTGTCGCCCCGGAAGGTGAAACGGGAGAGGGTCACAAAGGCGATTTGAGGTCTGGGGCATCTCTGTGATGAAGGGGGACCGCGGAGCCGGGCCTGGTTACTCTGGAGAAGAGACGGCTGAGAGGGGATCCCATCAATCCGTACAAATGTCCCCAGGGCGTGTCAGAGCACGGTGCCAGACTCTGTTCAGTGCTGCTCAGGGACAGGACGAGGAGCAATGGCCAGAAACTGAGACACAACAAGTTCCACCTCGACATGAGGAAGAGCTTCTTTGCAGGAAGGTGTCAGAGCCCTGGAACAGCTGCCCGGGGAGGGTGTGGAGTCTCCCTCTCTGCAGAGATTCCACACCCACCTGGGCACATTCCAGGTGACCCTGCCTTGCCAGGGGGATGGGTTGGCTGATCTGCAGAGATCCCTTCCTGCTCTCTCCTGGGATTCTGGACAGCTTGCTGTGGGCTGGGGAGTGGGCTTGGACCAGGTGAGTTCCAGAGGTCCCTTCCCAACTCCAGCATCCTGTGTTGATGCCGCTGAGAGGTGTAAAGTACCTGAAAACAAAATCGCAGAATAGCTGGGGTTGGAAAGAACCTCTGGAGATCACCCAGTCCAACCCCTCTGCCGAGGCAGGGTCACCTGGAGCAGGGGTACAGGTGGATTTGGAATGTCTCCAGAGCAGGAGACTCCAAAACATCCAGCACACATTCATTCATTCTTTACACTTGCATTTGGGGGACTCAGTGTGAAGTCTGTGGGCTGAGAGAGCCTCAATAAGGAACCCAAACTGTGGAAGTTTGGCAGGTGGAAGTCACAGCATCCTGTGAGGTGACACTAAAATGTCACGTCTGCCTTGGTCCCTCTGGGGCTGGGGACAGTGTTTATTCTGGAATGATGTCCACTGGGATTTTTTTGACATGGAAGTGTGGAGAACTCTGTCTCTTGGCAATAAAATAGAGGATTTGAGTGTTCCTGAAAGCCATGTTGTCATTGTCACCTTCCAATCACTCATCCACTGCTTCATCCCCTCGCAGCTGATGGAGCCTTGTCCTGGCTCTGGAGCAGCCCTGAGGGGACACCAGCCCTCAGCTTTGAGCTCACTGTGGAGCCATGGAATGTCCTGAGCTGGAAGGGACCCACAGGACCCTCAAAGTCCAACTCATCCCTGCACAGACACCCCAACACTCCCACCCTGTGCCTGAAAGCATTGTCCAAACGCTCCTGGAGCTCTGGCAGCCTTGGGGCTGTGCCCATTCCCTGAGGAGCCTGTTCAGTACCTGAGCACCCTCCCAGGGAAGAACCTTTCCCAAAAATCCAACCTAAATCTCCCTGGCTCAGCTCCCCCGAGTCCTGCTGTGAGGCTGGAGTGTGTCTGAGCACAGAATTTGTGACAACTGGAATGACTTGGTTGAGGTTTTTGATGATGGAAGGTCTTTCAAGAAGTTGGGAGGGAGAACAGAGGGGGAATCCAGGACACAAAACTCCACCTCACTGCTTTAACCCCGTGTTTCCCACACTCTCAGTTTCCTGCCCCAGGAAAACATCATCCTTAGACCCTGGGGATCCTGTCCTGACAGCACTGAACCTGTTGTCACTCAGGGATTGAGCAGGACAGGAGCTGGGCATTTTCCAGACAGTCATTCCATCAGATTTTCATGGTCCTTTAGTTTAAACAGCCTGGGATATTCCATAACATTTACCTCACCTCTAGGCCTGGGGTTAAACCAGCAGTAAGCAAATCCTCTGAAGTCACCTCCAGCTTCGAGGTGCAAAGTGTTGTATTCCTGAACTGATTTGTAAAACTTCCAACATTCATTGTCTTTCCTGAACATTCCTGTCTCACAGAGGCTGAGAAGCTGAACAAGATGAGCTCCCTCCTGGAAAGGCTCCATGCCAAGTACAGCCAGAACAGGCCCTGGACAGAAACCATGAAGTTGGTCCGTCAGGTCATGGTGAGACTGAGCAGGGCCTGCCTGGGCTTTCTCTGCTGATGCTTTTCTGTTGGGTTCTTAGATCTCTTCAAGGTGTTTTTGTTGTGTCCAGGGCTCCACTCTCTCCTGAGAAGTGCAGGTGTCCAAACCCTCCCTGCTTGATGTGCCTTTCCCTCCCCTAATTGCAGATTAATTGCCAGCTCAGTGCCAGGGAAAGCAGCAAACTTGTGTTTTCTGCTACTCACCCTTCCTGGATATCGTTTTGTTCAGTAGCACTCAACACTCAGTGCTGGCTTACTCAAAAATGGGTTTGAAATATTGGTCTGGGTGGGGGAAAGAGGAGCAGGAGACAGGGGAGAGCTACAGCAAAGCCTCCTGCCCATGTTCAGGTGTTAAAAGTTTGTCTGGCTCTTTATTTTTCTGTCACCTCTTCTCAAACTCTCGGCTTAGGCCTATAGAAAGTTGTTACATTCTGTCCTTGCAGCTGGGCAAGTTGCTTAAAAGAAAATAACTCAATACCAGGCCTGCCTTTGTAATCTGCTTGCAATCAGATACTGTTCACCTACAGAAATGAAGATGTTGTAATTTGGGAGTGAAATCTAATCTGCTTTTAATTATCTAAATAAACCTCACTTGGCTGCTCAAAAGTTGCCTAATTCCCTCCTACTGAGGGCTGAGGAAAAATGATCCTTTTTTTCTTCTGTCTGCTCAAGGAAAAACGAGTGGTGCTGAACTCAGGGGGTCACCAACACCTGGTGAGCTGCTTGGAGACACTGCAGAAGGCCCTCAAAGGTTGGTGTGTTCTCTGTGTGCTCTCCACAGGCTCCTGCAGGGTGGAAAATCCTATGGAAATGCTCCATAAAAAGCCACACAGGGTTGTTTTTTATTGCTGGGTGTTGCTGGTGTGTTTCATTGTGCCTAATGCTCAGGGGTTCATCAGCACACTGAGCTCAGTGCCAGGCAGGACAGTCAGGATTGGCTGTGCTGCTTTTATTGGGAAAATCCTCTCTTTGTCCAGAGAAGCTGTGGAAGTGTCCCAGGCCAGGTTGGATGGGGTTGGAGCAACCTGGGATAGTGGAACTTGTCCCTGCCTGTAGCAGGGGTGGGACTGGATGGGCTTTAAAGTCCCTCCCAACCCAAACCATTCCACGATTCTGTGAGTGCCCATTCCTGGATTCCACCTGCAGAGGAAATTCCATTCTCTCCTTGCAGTTTGGGAATATTTGCATTTGTCTGTGCTCACCCTTCTGTCTGTAATTGAGCACAGGTCCTGTGTAGTTGTGCATGGGACAGTGGGAGGGAGTAACCAGCTGAGATTTGGTTTATTCCTTAGGAAATGTGGGATCATTCCCCTAAACTTTGGTTTTTGTTGCCTCCGTGCAGTGTCATCTCTGCCTGCCATGACCGATCGCTTGGAGTCCATCGCCAGGCAGAGTGGGTGGGTGTTCCTGGCAAAGAACTCTGCTGCTTCCCTGCCCACACCAGAACCTCGTGGTGCCTGGGCTGTGGGGTTTTGTGTGCTTGGATTGAGATTTTGTGGGGTTTTGTGTGCTTGGATTGGGATTTTGTGGAGTTTTGTGCGCTTGGATTGGGGAGTTTTGTCTGCTTGGATTGTGGGGTTTTGTATGGTTGGATTATGGGGTTTTGTGAGCTTGAATTGTGAGGTTTTGTGGGGATTTTGTGTGCTTGGATTGGGGGGTTTTGTATGGTTGGATTATGGGGTTTTGTGAGCTTGAATTGTGAGTTTTTGTGGGGGTTTTGTGTGGTTGGATTATGGGGTTTTGTGTGCTTGGATTGGGGGGTTTTGTATGGTTGGATTATGGGGTTTTGTGAGCTTGAATTGTGAGGTTTTGTGGGGGTTTTGTGTGGTTGGATTGTGGGGTTTCGTGTGCTTGGATTGGGGGTTTTTGTGGGGGTTTTGTGTGCTTGGATTGGGGGGTTTTGTGGGGTTTCGTGTGCTTGGATTAGGGGTTTTTTTGGAGGTTTTGTGTGCTTGGATTGGGGAGTTTTGTCTGCTTGGATTGTGGGGTTTTGTATGGTTGGATTATGGGGTTTT